CTCGGCTGACTTCCTTGAATAAGACGCCCTTCAATTTTAGCGTAAGGATTTTAGAAAAAAGTATCGTCTTATAGTCGGAAAAATACGGTACTTATCAGAATTCTTGGATTTCTTGTGAGCCTGAATCATTGGTTCCAGTTGGACATAGCCCTCTGACTGTATGGGTCACCTCTGTGGGATTGGCAACCTCAAGAGTAAAAAATAATTTCTCCCCATTTCTGCCAGCCTTGGTAGTAACAAGTGAAGTTGAGGGTTCTACATTTAAACCTACTGTAGGTTGGCAATAATGCAAGTTAGATGTTTTGGAATACAAGTTTAGCATGCTGAAATCATGTTTAAAGGTAATCTGCTGGCATGTTCTGACCTATTTCTTATGTATGTTAGTGTTATTGTGGTGGTCCTTGGGGTGTCTTTCACTTCTTTGTTTTGTATCTCCGTCCTCACCTTGGAGTGATTACCGAGATCCAGGATATTTCATGGTTGTCACACCAGAAACAATATGCTTCAGGATAGAAGATATGATGTGTTTTGATGAAGTGGGGGTGGGGGGTGTAGTTGTTCTTAGTAAATATGTTGTGGAGGTAGCTGAGTTCTGCTTTTCTGAGTGCTGGTGAGCTGCAGTGTGTCTTTGCATGGTTGATGAAAGTTCTTATGCAGCTGATTTTATGTGCTGTGGGGTAGTTACTGTGTGAAAATTTCAAATTTGATTTGAGTTCTGTTCCCCCAAACCCTCCAGTCACCAACCAACCTCACAGAATTCAAATTCTACACAGTCTATAAATACTGCAAAGCGATCCCCACTTCTGAACCCTTGCTCTAAGGAAGCCTTGCCAGAATGCATGGCAAAACATAGAGATATGTTATGGGTTTTACTTCTGTCATAGATTCCATCAAATAAGAGAGCATCTCAGGTGCCTTTGAAGTGGCCAAAGCATAGGGCCCATATTGAGCCATTAAACAAGCTTAAGTTGAACATTCTGCCACTGTGAACTGGGGAGGTCAAACTCAGTTGGAAGTCTGGAGAAATCTCTAAAACAATCATTACATAATAACTGGTTTAAAATCATAATCCTGACTTTTACCCAAACTTTCCAATAGAATGCATTACTACCTATTTTCAGGGTAATTTTTCCAAAGAGTTCAATATTCATGAGTCTCATTAACAAAACCCAATCTATGCAACTAAAAAATGAACCTGGATTGCTGTTGTCCCAAGAAAACCATTCAAATATGTAGCAATCCCAACTAAGGGCTGGGTTCTTTCCTGAAATATAAATGTGTTATTTCCCAAGTGTTAGTTGCAACATCCTGTCTCATCAGTTAACAGGAAGCTGATTTTAAAAGTGAAACTGCAAAACCTTTTTTTCTTCCCCTTTGTTTGATACAAAACTGAAAGTGACTGCAGACATCAGAGAATCATGGAAGGTATTTATTTGCTATAACAAAGATCCTATTTATTATAAAATATGTAACAGGTGGCAGTGGTCAGGGTGGGGATGAAAGAAATAGTTATGTGTGTACCAAATGTTGTGGTCTAATTTTGCTAAAAGTATATATGCTTTGTTTTGGTCATTCAGATCCTATAAAATTGTGTAATGGCTCATTCTTGACCCTAATAAAGCATTAGTATTTTTGCTTCCTTCTTTTAAGCTCCCCCACCCCCCTTTCTTCCTAATTTAGACTGCAATGTTATGGTCCCTGGCAAAGAGTTCTGGAAGCAGTAGCATAAAGTGAATCTCCCTTATTGGCTTGGAAAATGGCTCAATTCATGGAAAAGGATATTTGCTGCAGTTTTCAGTACTCCATCCTCCACGACCTCCCCCTCAAGAGGGTGAAAGTGGGCCATGCTGAGTGCCATCAGGCTTCAATCTTCAGGATCCAACCCCATCCCCTAGTTTTCTGATAATTCCCCAAATTGATAGAAAAACTACCAGCTGTGAAGCTGGCCTAATTCATTTCCATTCTGTTGAATTAATAGGATAGGGAGTAGAAGAGCAAGTAGAATGAAGATATGCCTATTTTAATTTTCCTTTCTAAATACTGTAAGTACAATTATTTACATGTATAATATGGGTAAATTTTGCTGTTCAGCTTAGTGAGAGAGAAAACATTACAGTAATACATCTTTTCAGAAGCACTCTTTAGAAATGACTCGTGTATGCTTATAGCTGAAATAGACATACCTCTTGTTTAGATCAGGACACTATTATTATGATGATTATTGCCAGCCTCAGATAAAACAAAACAAAATTCCCTTGCCATAGGTTGCCTAATATATTTTGTGACCAAATAATAATCCAATGTATCCATAACAGCTCATTCTTCTTATGGTAACATAATGGCTGTGGATACCACTGGAGCTTTTCTTGAAACTGGAAAACAAGAAGGCTTGAGTTATGGGGGTAAGATTAGTTATTACGTATGTCTAAATATATTGATAATTTTGTTAACACTGATGTGATGTAAATGTTATTTCACTCTCTTTCTCTGTTCAGTATGTAGCTGTTCTTAAGTCTGTACATTCCTTAACAGAATCTTGGGGGTTTTTTTCTTTTGGAAAAAAAAAATGTTTATTGCAACTATACAAGTAGCTTAAACACAGTGATTAAATTTGCTTTATAATACCAATATATAGAGTGATTTACAGCAATTGGAAAATATTCATAAACAAGTAAGGGTTTCTGTCTCCTCTTGGGAATGAGAATTGAAAGAACTGAACAAAGAAATTCTTTGACATTTAATGTTGCTTCTTTATCGTGGTTCATTCTGTAGTCCTTGCTACAGTTTTTGAATAGTACTTCTGCTCGCTTGCTTTTTCCCCTTGTTTCTTGTTTTTTTTATTTTCTTTCATTTCTGCATCCTTCTGCTTTTTCCCCCCTGCCTTTTGCCATAAGAACCACTTACTTATTGGCTGCTGTTCTTTCACGCTTTCTGTAAGCGTATTACTTCGATTCCCATCTCCTGCTTCCTGTTTTTTCTCTTACACAATACATTTAATCCACATCTGAAGCTCTTTGTCTATGTGGGTGTGCCTTTGAGTCACTTTTTTGACTCTTGACAACTGCCTGGAAAGTCCCTGCAGTTTTCTTGGCAAGATTTTGAAAGAGGTTTGCCATTGCCTCCTTCCTAGGGCTGAGAATGAGTGACTGGTCCAAGGTCACCCAGCTGGCCTGGTGCCTAAGGCAGGACTAGAACTCACAGTCTCTGGGATTGTAGCCTGATGCCTTAACCGCTACACCAAACTGGCTCTCTTTGATGCTCATCTAGGTGGCAGCATTTACTTTAATTTCAAAAGCTACCAGCTTCAGATGTAGTTAGTACAGCTGCTAGAATGGAAGGTTGCTAGGAAATACTAACGCTGTAGACTAGATTGGGAAACTGAGAAGAACTTTTGGAAGAAGGCAATGGCTGTGCCCATGAAGCACTTTAGTTTTCCAGAAACTAGAATTTTTAACTGAGGATAGCCATAAACTCAGCAATAATAGCCATCAGTGACACAGGGACGGGCTTCCCATTTGATCAAATTCTTAAACACAATAAAAGCGAAAAGATCATTGTTCTGCTTAGTTTAATTCCAAATGTTATTTTTGGAATAAATAATTTTTCTTTTCTCATGCTTTTGAAAACTTTGTTTTTTCCTCTGCAAGGAGTTGCAGCTTCAGAAATAATTGCGAAGAGAGATCTAAACAATCTAGAGAGATATAAAACGAAGATTAAGCATGTCAGTGAAAAGACAAATATTGATGCAGCTGTGATTGCTGCTATAATGTCTCGAGAATCACATGCTGGAACTGTCCTAGAAAATGGTTGGGGTGACCATGGAAATGGATTTGGATTAATGCAGGTAAAGACTTCTGTTATAAATTAAGAAACACATAAGGCCCAATGTTCAACAACTCTAAGCCCTGCTATCCTGGAGTAATTATAAGGTGTGATTATAATTGTCCCCAAGCAGAATATACCGTAACCTCGTATAACTGAAGGTTTCCCCATTTCTCCCCACATGCCCCCTCTTCCCCCCCCCCCTTTATTGCATCTTTCTTTCATTCAGACTGTACATCTCCTTTGGTAACTGACCTGTATTTTTTAATTATTAGTTTGTAAAGCAACTGAACTTTCCCGGCATCATGTAATCATAACAATAACTATTACAGAATAATGAGAGGTGTTTCAACATTTTTCAGGTGGATAAAAGATACCATACACTAGTTGGCACCTGGGACAGTGAGGAACACATTAATCAGGCTACCCTCATTCTCTGTAGCATGATACAGGAGATTAAAAAAAAATTTCCATCATGGACAAAGGAACAGCAACTCAAAGGTATGAAACATCATTCTACTAGAATACCTAGAATCTCCTTTATGTCCAGATGCTTCAGGTCAGATTTGTCCACATGACTCAGTATTTATACCCTGTGATAATGGCTCTCTGGCTTGGAGAGGAGCCATCTCCAGTATTGATGGAAAATACCAGCCAAAGCTGAGATCTCTGGAAGGGAAATATATGCCCTAGCATTCATTTATGATGGTACCTTTCCCTCTACCTGCGAATAATAACATTCCAACCAATCCTTTTTATTATTTTATTATCCACCTAGTCATTAGTAATTGGAAGTCTACTGCAAAAGCAATTAACCTGAGATCAGATGTTAAGTTACCATTCAGAAGCCTGACAAAAAGATTTTTTTCCACATAATTCATCTTAGAAACCAGGTTATAAAAGCAGAATGTTAGAAATGTTATATCTCATGATATGTGAATTGCAAAAGATGCTAGTCCCTATCTTCAGGTATATTTAAATACAAACCTCTGCATAACTTCCTGATAACAATAGAGAAGAAATTATGCATTGTTAGAAAAATCAACCTTTAAAAAAACCTGTAAGGGGTAATCTTATGAAGACATTATTTAAAGCAAGCCCTTTTGAACTTAGCAAGAATTGGATGCAACAAGGTACATTTGTAGATTAGTGCAGGCAAGAAGTATTCTAAGCAGAAATAAAAAAAATCTTAAGTCCTCAATACCCTGCTTTATCAGCTATTTAACTTCTTTTGTATCAGGAATATGGGTATCCAACCTAGATCCGTTTATAATTAATCTTAGCATTTGAGGAATGCCTACATTATGTTGTTAATGTAACTTTTGTTCATTTGTCCATTCACTTTTTAAACTATAGGTGGAATTTCAGCCTACAATGCAGGACCTAAAAATGTCCAGAGCTACGATAGAATGGATATAGGCACTACAAAGAATGACTATGCCAATGATGTTGTTGCAAGAGCCAAGTTTTACAAAACAAGTGGATATTAATAGTCTGAAACAAATATGCTAACATTTTATCCTTATCCAAATTTTGTATGTAATATTAGCAAGATCATTCTACTTGGTTTAGCAGTCTAGGAAGAAAAACAAAGTTGTACCAACTTCTATAGAAAATAAGTCTATACTGTATTGCTGTTTCATGGATGCAATAAAACTGCTTGCATTCCTGTTATGGGACTCTTTTTCCCACTCTTGGTTCCACCACACTATTATATCCACGTAATATGACTTCTGTCATCTGTAGACACACACTTGGGCATAGGAGTTTATATTCCAAGAGTTTCTAAACCAAGCTGGAAAGCCTGAAATGCCTGGTTTTAAAGGACTGGGCATTAACAGAAATCCAGCGGGAATCTGCTTTTTGGACAGTCAAAAGGGACTGACTTCTCCATGGAGTCACTATGTGTGGTATTTGGCATCATTTATCAACTCACACAGACATCACTATAAGCTGGCTGCAACCCTTTTACATTCTCACTTGTCTAATGTTACTCCCCTCCTTTGAAGTCCAAACAAATTGCATCTACAAACCCTGTGAGCCCAGAACATTATACTGTGAATGTAATTAAAGTTTCTGAAAGTTAAGTTGGCATCAGAAACATACTATTACCTTGTTGAAGAAAATTGCTCAGATTATCTTGGGTTGGAAAATAGAATCAGGCAGAAATCCAAAGCAACTGTTGTAGTAATAGGTAATTTCCATTATCTCACATAGACTGGGTAAATGTATATTCGAGACATAATAGTTATTTCTGTGACATGATGTGATTATGTGATCAATCAATCATTATTTCCAGGTACTGCAAAATTCACAGAACTAACATGTGAGCGGACGAAAAGACTTTAATCCAAGGTGGTACACTAGATCTTAAGATTTGAGTAATGAATTAGAAATGTGATACATTATTTCTGGACTACTTCACTGTGTATGTACTGTGAAAAAACAAGGAAGTGCAGGCCAGAAAATATGTGCCATCAGCTTCTAAACAGACCTTAATTCATGCTTTAATTTTAATATTTTAAAAGCTGTACGTATGGATTTCTGGCAGAGAAACAGTATATAAATTGTCCAGAAAGCAATCACATTCATTTTTCCTGTAAGAGAAGAAAAGTTCTACAAAATTATACTAATGAAAAGGGAGGTGAAATGAATGTCAGGGGAATTAAATCTCTTTAAACATAGGAGGATTTTCCAAACAAAACAATTCAGCTGAAATGTGCACTGATCAAAAATGGGGCAAGTAAGACTCGGTGCATGCCAGGGTACAAGAACAAGACCAACACCCATATACAGTATTTAAGAAGGCTTCCTTCAGAAAATGGACTTCCTTCCCCAAGAAAGAAAGGGGGAAAAATATAAGGGCATATCTGAAAATTCATTAATGAATTGAATGTTATTTAAATAAACCAGAAATTGGAAAACTATTAGGGAGGCAACTAGACCATTAAGTGATAAGGAAACTAAAAGATGTGCTAAACAAGGACCAAACACCACAGAAAAGCTACAAGAATTCTTTACAACTTTCTTCACTGTGGAAGATACACAGTAGAAATGTATAATGGTATTAACATTTTCAGGATGGAATACTGTAAAGATATAGTATCAAAATGCAACATTTATAGTGGGTTTGTATGTGTAATAATTAAAATTATACACACATGAACCCACTATGTGGGTAAAAATTATGCAGAGCTGGAAAACGTCGCAGAAAAGGAAAAAAAAATTACTAAGGCCTAGAGTGCCTCCTGATAAAGTGTACATCCGTGGCTTTTTAGCTCAAAAGATGAGTGGGGAATGGGGGAGAGGTATATAAAAGTACGCACAGTGTAGAGAGGGTAATCATAGATAACATTTTTCTCCTTTAGTATGGAGGAACCTGGGCTCACCCAGAGTTTAAGACAAAAGGAAAACACACAGCACAGCATATAGTTCAATTATGAAATTTGATAATGAAAGATAGAGTGAAACCAATAAACTTAGGTGGCTTAGTCAAATTAATGAACTAAAAGGTTATCCACAACTATCAATCAAGGGTATTTGGTGCCCTGAGACCACAATGACTGATGGTAGTACCTCCTGCTGATGCAAAAATTTGCAGTTTTAGAATTATTCAGAAGGAGGGATGACATTGGTGTCCCTTAAGCTTTGGCACCCTAGGCTAGTGGCTACTCAACTTTAGCCTAAAGCTGGCCCTACTATCAGTTATGATACTCAACTTTGAAAAGGGCCCAAATGTTGACAGGGACTGTGGAAAAATAATAGCATGCTTACGGAGAGTCAGTTGAGCAGCAGTTCTGAATGTGTTCCCCTCCCTTGACCCAGAGTGAAGGATATGCAGTCACCCTGTGCTTCCTAGTGCAAATGTTCTGGCACCAGGTCTATGGATTGCATGATGTATATCTATTATGTAATACACCTTCCTTTATACTATTTAATCTCTCATTAGAGAAACTGAGATGTTATAGTGATCTGTCCCCCTGTACAAGGTTACAAGTCCTCCAACACCTCCAAGAACAGGGGTGGAGGTAGGAGGAATTCCCCATATCTACATATATACAGTACTGTGCAAAAGTTTTCGGCAGGTGTGAAAAAATGCTGTAAAGTAAGAATGCTTTCAAAAATATATATTGTAATTGTTTATGTTTATCAATTTACAAAATGGAAAGTGAGCAAACAAGAAAAACCCAAATCAGATCAATATTTGGTGTGACCTGTTAGGACTTTCTCATGGGAAGAAGTGCATCTCGCTATCTTCAAACGTATTGTTATGGCTAACAAAGAAGGCTCAGCTGCTGTTATTATTATTAGTTTGCAGGTATACTATTTACTGCCACCTATTGGCGTCTGTATGCTAGTTACTCAAGGGGTGGTAATAAAACGGGAGGATTACATGCCCAGCTGCTCAGTAGAATTTTAGCCGCCATGTAATCAGTTTTATGGGTTATATAGTAGTAACTAATAACTAAGTAGTGTACCTCTTCTCTGAGAGTTTTTGGCTAGAGACTTCATTAAACTTGTGTAGTGTATATGTCTTGGATGCCACATATATGGGAAGAAG